GACGCCCACTCTATCTGGCCGCGTTCAATGTTCGCACTCTGAAGCAAGCGGGACAACAAGCTGCTCTTGCACTCACACTGGACTCGCTTGGCCTTCCAGGATGGGGACCGCGTGATCCTCACTGTGCCTTGTTGGAGACACTACAAGATATGGCTGCCAACCGTTGTCAGTGGCGTTCTTGTTGTCAGTTTCTGTCCAGGTTGCCTGAGTGAATGTCTGGAGGTGTAGGCACCTCGGAATGATTGTGTTAAGCTAGCACTAAGTCCCTTCCCCGTCCGCCTTTATTCTTTTCTTTACAATAAGGCTTTCAAATAAGTCATGGCTGTACGGCAGTGAAGCATTGGTGTTGAGCACTGATGTCATGCTGTCGTTGATGATGATGATGATGATGATGATGATGATGATGATGATGAAACATATCGATGAACGCAGTGCTGTGCTCGGCATTTTTGGAATGTGGTAATGAAGGCTGAACAGATACAACGGAAAATGGAGAAGCATTGAAGTTTATCTTCAGCATCTTATTATGATGATGATGATGAAACATATCGATGAACGCTTCGGAGTGCTCGGCATTTTTGGAATGTGGTAATGAAGGCTGAACAGATACAACGGAAAATGGAGAAGCATTGAAGTTTATCTTTATCATAGCATCTTATTCCACTACATTGCACTGTTTTCATGATCTATTTTCCCCTTTATCGTTAGCGGCCCTGGAAGAGTTGCAGGTGGATAGAAGGGTCACTGAACCAGCATTCACGTATGCGATTTTTCCGGGCAACGGTACGGAAACAGACGTGCTTAAGGCGCTCGAGAAATTGTTTATCGGGCTAAGAGCATGTGCATGCCGCTAGTGAGTACTTCCATGAATTTCTGATCATCCGAGGAGCCAATTTCCAGTTGATGAGATGTGTAATGTCCCAGTGAGCGGAAGAATTCCATTAGAGAGTGATTTTTGAAGACAATAGGTTAATGGTGCGTGCTCGTGTTATGGTGCGGAGGTCCTAGAGGGTCATGAGAGGAAACAGCAATGACGTTCAAACTGGGGTCGTTGAGCCGCATACTTTCGAGTATCGGAAGAATCTAACTTCCCAGCTGGAAAGGACGACTGCAAATGTCCCCATGACTGATATTTCTCGTATACATACGCCTACCCACTGTTGACCTTCAAGGCGACCAAAGCTATACAGTTGCAACAGTACTTCAGGTTTACTAATATATGAGAAATGTCTGGTAAACGGTGGTTTCATTGTTTGCCGAAATCGTTTTGACCCGTTCCCACCTCCTACAAATTGGCTACTTGTGATTCTTGGGTCATGTGTCCGCCTGCTCCGAAGCCACCTGATAAGCGCCAACAAGGGTGCAAGCGCTCGTATAACTTCTACGCTAACTTTTTTAAATTGACTGGTAGCAAATCCTACGTTTGGATATCTCGTCTCGGTTACTTCATCGCTCGAACAAACCTGATGTGAAGGGATGCACAATGTCAGCTGCAAACAACGCAGATGGCACACTGGTCCTAGGTGTTACTGGACAGGCTTATTCACCGTGACTGGATCCTGGACTCAGTGATGCACAACTTACAGCAAAGGAATCCCGCACTGATAAGATACAACGAGCAGCTGAAAATTCAGAAATTAGATCTGATCAAGGCAATTGCTAGGTAAATTACGAGGATTAGGACATTGAGTTCGAGATACTCCGGCCATGCAGGCAACCATGCAAAGCTTATCAGCATCAGCAAAACAGTCAGCGATTGTTACAACAGTAGGGAAGGAGGGAGATCTGCATTTTCAAACCCGACAGGCAGCACTAACGAATGACTTTCGCTTGTCGATCCAAACCGTTCTCTCTCCATTCGTCTCTTCAAAACGACACTTTCTAGTTTTTGTAGCAGAGCCTCAATATTTTGCTCGGATGACAAATACGATAGCCGCAGCACGTCACTAGCTTTTTCTTCTTACAAAGTTAATTGGAATAAATGCTACCTTACTTGCTTGCTGCTCCAACTGATGAAGCATTTCTGGCGTCATATGAGAATATTTGCAAAGAACACCGTAATTGCATTCACCTGTAAAATGAATAACGGGACAAGCTGAAAACGCACCCGTCCGTGCAAATCCGATGCATGGCTTCTTGGCTCTTTCGAGGACTAACTTCTCTTGTGGAGCTGTACCAAATGTGGTCTCAAACACGCCTGGACACCTACCTAAATAACGATCAAAGTGCAGCCTACGCGCCTGCTGGTGTTGCACTCCATTAAGATGAGCTCTCCGGTTCGTAGCGTTATCCGGGAACGATTTATCGCAGTAGTCACAGTAGAACCGCTTACCCATGTAGCTGGAAAAGGAACAAATGTCAGCACAACCGAATCTCTACTATGGAAAATGATAGGTGTGGATAATTCAGTTGGATGGGACTGACAAAAAGGAACTCGGTAACCGGGATGGGTGCTTGCAGTAGCGAGAAAACGATAGGTCACTTATACATGGGATTTTTATTATCATGTGTACAGCATAGAGATTACTCCATCGCAACTTTCAGCTACGTATGAGAGAAGGATATGGTGGGAAGCAGATGCGACAGAACGTCTCAAGTTGTATTTGGGTGGTTAGGGGGGGGGGTTGGCGGGGGAATTCACCTGGCAATCTGTACAGAAATCAAAGTGGGGTCTATAGAAGCAGCTGTGGGAATGAAAGGGGACGGTATGTATGGACAGACGACTGAGTTCCCGAGAAATGCGCAAAAGGTGACGGTGGTGGTAAGAGAAACGCAACAACGATCGGATCAGTTTATCAATCACGGCACGTAATCAGAATAAACGGAGACGAACAAAGCTGCAAATAGCAGATTGCCAGGCTGTGCGATCGACGATCAGTTGCTTCAGTACTTCTTGCTTTAATGATCGGAATGTGGACTACAAAGAAAAAAAGGAAAAACGACGGTAGAAGCTAGCCACAAATTGCTAACATGTCTATTGGGTATACCGCGACACAAAAAGAACCGAAGTTACCAAAGGAACGAAACTTGTAACATCTCACTGTCTGGAGTATGTCAATACTGAAGGAATTTCTCCCGCCCAAATTTTTAAACCAACCTGACGTGAGCGGATGAAGAAAACACCGAATCAGGAAGGGACACAGTCAGAAAATTAACGCTCGCCTGTCGCCCCAACACAAGAAAAACAGGAGAATACAGAGTAACTTCTTACATCAGTTGCATGTGCCTAAAAGCGCGTACTAGAAAGTTATAACAGAACCGTACGCTACGATAGTTTAGATCCATAGATGCATAAATAGATACATATCATAAAAATGTACCTTGACGTGGTTGGTGCTTCTTCACGTAGTGGGCTGGGTTCTCGTGGACGTCCGGTACCGAAAATCGCTTTGCTGCGTTCTGAGAGGTGTCGGTCGTCAGTTTGATTGAGAGGCACTGTTCGAGGCTTCAACTTCAAACGAGGTCTCTCCTCGCCCGAACTGTTGCTGTTCAAATCACCCGTATCGGGACGGTCATTTACAATAGGATCACGAGCGAGACCAGGTGGATGATAACTTTGTCTTTGGGGGCCGCCTCGTCCACCCATACCTCCGCCACCGCCGCGAGGGCCGCGTTCAGCTGAGTGGAATATTATTAGACCAATTTACTAAACATGGACGCACGAAAACAGAACCAACAGATTCTATTAGTGCCGCCTGGAGTCCAAAGCTGACCGATCCAGTGTTCTTTCAAAAGCCTTCTACTACGTTCATAAGAGAAGTATTCAGTGAACCAAGAATGTTAATTTTTGATAGTCCAAAAGCAGTATGGTTGACCCTGTGTGATAGATCGGTGTCACTAGACAAGTGAGCGCCATCACATACTACTGGTGTACTGTTGTCAGTGATGATGGCGTCACTGAAAATGAACACCACTATCAGGACCCTTGTAACCCCGTGAGAAAGTGCATCCACTCATTCCACTTTGCTCGTTTACCATTGGTGGCAGTGATTAGCCTATCGCGCGGACGTACCGGGGCATTTCCTTAGTCGGCCTACCGAAACATACAACCGGCAGCGTATGCGACTAAAAGGAGTGACCTGTGGGTTACGACGATCCGACAAAAATCTGTGTTTGGTGTTCGTGATGTCATGCCAGATCAAAGCTGGTGAGGATGCTTATGTCAGTGCTTTGTCTGGAGCACTATGGCGAGACCTCAAATAACTGAAGCCATAAGTGGCACCGTATTGCAAACGGACGGGTGATCACATCTGAGTCACTTAGGGGTTCATAGTGTTGTCACGAAAATGCTCCTGACCCACCAGAACTATGATATGTGACAACGCATGCGACGTTCCACTTTCGAGGTTTTGTGAACAGAGCGAACAGTTGGAGCTGGTACGCTGGAAGTTCTTGCAATTTAATAGCGTTCCCTGGATGCAACAAAGACGAGAATCTAGAAAGATTATCCCGTGGAGATTATACAGCTTGTGTGGGCCTGACTCAGATCGCAGCACAGTCCGCGACGTGCGAGACAGTGTTCGTCAGACACGTCCATCGGGGTACACACTATAACTAATGAGAAAAATAAAAATAGGTACCGCGCCACTCTGAACTCCGCAGAGGAAGGTACATCATGGGTATATCTGCTATTGTTAGATGGTCTGAAAAATCGCCAACATAAACATGTTTCTCTATAATGTGGGTAGCAGCTGGTTTGTCACACTATTTCATCAGTGTGGCACTATGGTGGTCCCTTCGACGAACGCGTCCTAAATAAGTGAACGACTGTGTCGGATACTGGTGTGTTTTGGAAAGGACCCACCACACCGTGTGTAGAGTCAGATATACAAACAAAGCAGTGTCAACTAGCTACTAAACATTGTTATTTGAAGTTAGAAGCTGAACTGCCCTAGTGTACCCGGAGGGTAATACCTGAAGAAACCCTGGAAAAACCAACATAGCGCATGATTTCTGCTGGTATATGAGCTACAGAGATAGGTGATTTCCTCTGATAGAAAGTCGTCTACGTATCGTCAGTAGTACAGTGACCAAAAAAGACACCGCTCACAGACAACTGAGTTGCATGACCATATCCCACATAACGGCAGCCCACGAGCATAATAGTTCTAGTTAGTGGAAAACCGTGTGAATATATCAATGTATTCAGTAGCTTCCCTTGAATCATGAGGCGACAAATAATGCCGAAGAGTATAGAAAAAACAAGGATGCAAGTTTTCACATCTAACCAGACATCCACACGGACTTATGGTATCCCACTGAAACAGGACTCACTGAACCGTCCTCCACCAGGCCCCATATTGGGACGACCACGAGACGACCAATTGTCCTGGTTTCCTCGACCTTGGTATGCTCCACCACCACCACCGCGGCCGTAACCGTTTCCCATTGCTCGCGGAGGACCGCCCCTCGGGCCACCTGCATCAAAAGACGGTGAAGTTTGAGTCCACAACGGGATACCAAAGAGAACAACATCATGAATACATCTGTGACTCATGTTCGGATGAGGCACTTGCCTACAAAACCGCGTTCCATTATAATTCAAGTGGTCAATCAATACATACACCACCATAAGTTGAGCGTGACAACGTTACTTTTCTTGCTTCTCGCTACGTAGCGTCAAGTTACGAGACTTTCTCCAGCTAATGATAGCCCTACCGATCGTCCACATTTCAGAGAAATCGAGCATGTAGCCCAGGTGGTGGGCTGGGACAGAGCACCTACAGAAAAGCAGCATGCGAAAAGGCGCGCTGATAACATCGGGGCTTATTAACGACCAGATCAGTCAACTTGTCACCTGACGTAATCTCGGCTTCACCAGATGGATTTGAACAACTTGTTCTTTGGAATGAATAATTCTGGCTAGCCTAACAGCCCATTAGTAAGTTATTCACGATTCGGCTTCAGAGAGCAGACTGCTCGACTATCAGCCCTTGTCATCATTACAGTTATTCGTGAAATAACACAAGGGACAATAGAATTACTGGGTATGACACGAGCAACATCATATCGCCAGATACTGAGGCTATGGGAACGGCAATCCAGCAATGAGAGACGTCCAGACAGTGATGGTAACTCTGTTACCCTCAATCGACTCGTTACTGGCAATAAACTGGCCCCACTCCCAACAACGAGTTGCTAGCGTGATGCTCGAACGAAAGTCTCAGTCTCAAAGGCTGTTTGGCGGAATTCTGTACCGACACCGCTCGCACTTATGTGCTGCTACGGTTAGGAAGCCTGTCCCACGCACGATTGGCCAGCATCAAGGCGAGCTCCGATTGGCTGAATGTGTGGACACAACAGCTGATCATGAGCCCGTATCCGTTAATTGGAGGTTGCCATTGGCGCACTCAGAAGCATCGGAATTTTCAGAATGCTGTCCATCCATACACTTCACATACATCATGCTATACGTGTTTTTCTACCTGGTTTTGGGCGTTAATACATACTACGCGCTTCGATGGTTGTTTTGACCAGAACGCTAGTTTGGCAGGTTCAGGCTAAGAACTAAGCTGAGAAAATACCGTTATTTCAATTGGCGAATGAGACCGCAGGATGGCTAGCGAATTTAATCAGCTCATAGCAGTTTGAAGTGCATCTGAAGCTCATTGATTCACTGACTCAGAGACCGCATATCCAGACACCAGTGAGTCCCCTGTTTCTTCAGCCGCAGCGTCCATCATGGAGTTCACATTCAACCCTCTTTCTGGTCATGCTTTTGACTCCTGGTTCAAGCGGTGCGAAGACATGTTCAAAATATATTTTTCTAAGTTCGCTGACGGATAGAAAGGCAGGTCGTTTGTGCAAAAATTTGACATACCAGAACAAGTACGGCATACAAACTTCATTCTCCCCAAACTGCCCCGCGATCTCAGCTTCGATGAAGTAGTCAGAACACTGTCCCGGATATTGGACGATCAAACATCACCGTTCAATTTCTGTTATTAATGTCTCAAGCTGGTCAACAAAGCTGATGACGATTTCATCACGGTGTTGTCAATCGGGCATGCGAGCATTCCAAGCTCAGCTCAATGGAACACTTCAAGTGCCTCAATTTTGTATTAGTCTCCAGTTGTCCCAAGATGCTTCACACAATTAAACGTGATGCTGAAATAACGTTGCAGAGCCTCAACATTGAATGACAACGCCTCATCAACCTGAAGCAAGACGGCTATGATCGGTCAGTCACCTGCTAATTCAAGCAGTTGTGTCCACGAAATCAAGTCAAGCGTCCAAAAGAAGTCCGAGAACAAGTCCGGTCCCATAATTCGCTGACATTGTGGTGAGTGGCATTTCGCTCGTCATTGCCGGTTCGGGCGTCATGAATGTTCCAGGTGCTATCGTCGTGACCACAGAGATTTGTGTCGGTCTCGAATGCCGCAGCCACCGGCGCACCACAGTGAACCCACAAGTCGCGGTCCAACTCGGTGACGGTGACATCTAAAGTTGATTTTGCTTGCCGAAGCAAGCTTGTGACGGTTCGATGCTGAAGGATGAGCTACATGGACGATCTCATCGTCATGGGTTCCAACTCCGACGAACTGTGACAGCGCCTTAATTATGTGGTTGGTTGTGTCCAAGATTATGGCTCTAGGGTGCGCCTACAAAATGCACCCTCTGCATGAGGTCAATGAAGAACCTTGGTTTCATCTTTGACGAACACGACAGCACCCATAAACGTCGCATCACTCAAGTCCTTCCTCGGTAACTAGGGCTCGTTTCCGCCTGTCATGCATCACATCCAAGGTCCACTGAACCAAGGACCATAAGTGGACATGGTCAGAAGAATACCAACGAGGTTTTGACTGTCAAATCATGCTGAGTTCCGATTCGCTCGATCCGTCACTTGAAATCGTTACGGCGTCGGATGCTTCGAACTATGGAACCGGCGCAGTGATTTCGCACGTACTGCCCGACAGCAGCCAGAAAACCATCGCACACGCCGCCAGATCCCTGACACAAGTCAAGTCAAACGCAACTACAGTCAGATAAAAAACGAAGGTCTTGGCGACAGTTCCGTAAAATGCTCTACGGCCGTCAGTGTACCTTACTGACCGACAGCAAGCCATTTTTTGCTGTTTGGCTCGAAGAAAGAAATTCCGGTATATACCGCCAACCGCCTTCAGCGATGGGCTACTCTGCTTCAAGACCACGCATCAGTCAACCACCAGCCTTGGACAAGCCGCACCTCATTGATTCTCCTCAGAACCAGAGGATACTGCAGTCAAACGCGCCTTAGGAGCGGAATGAACCGCCATAGTACCGGGAGCGGGTCACATTCTGGCAGTGACTGCTGACGTGGTNACGTGGTCCGTCAGGCTACTGACCAAGACCCTGTGCTGCAGAAGGTCACCAGGTACCACAGTCATTGGCCGCGTACCTGCCCGAAAAACTGATTGGGACCTTACTCCAACCAACGTGGGGCATTATCTCCAGCCGACTGATACATTTTATCTTCAGAACGCGTTGTCATTCAAAAGGAGTTACAACCAGCCATACTGAATCAATTCCATAAGGGGTACCAGGGAACAAGATGAAGGACCTTGGTCGGAGTTAAGTCTTCTGACTTTGATGGACTCCCAGATTGAGCAAGTCTCCAATTCTGGTCTGTGGTGTGGTGAACCAATCTACCCACGAAAACCCACCTAAGGTGGTGACCGCAGTCGACCGAACCTTGGTCTCGTCTTCAAATCAACTATGCAGGTCCATTGGGTGAGCAGCACTTTTTGGTCATGGTCGAGGCTTAGACCAAGTGGCCGGAAATCCTTCCTACTACAGTCCTGGAACCCCGACCACTGTTCAGTCGCCTTGAAACGCCAGAGACCAGTACATCCGACAACATCTGTCAGTTCGCGTCGTCGACGTCCGCAGAGTTTTGTCGGGAGTAAGGTGTAACTCACATCCACCCGCCGCCGTTTCAACCACAGTCAAACAGCCAGGCGGAACGCTTCGTTGATACCCTGAAGTCCAAAGGGGAGGGATCGACTAGGGAATTTTCAAAGGTTTCTGCTGGTATATCAAGGGACGCCAAACCCTAAGTCGCCTGATGGAGTGTCACCATAAGCGGTACTGCTTCGACGTGAGACCCGAACTCCGCATGAAACTATTCGGCCGCAGAAAAGGGGAATGAGTCACCGCAACAACGTAATCGAAAACCATTTCAATTGGCATCATGGCGCTCTTTCAGCTAGGGCCACAGAGTGTTGGTTCACTGCCACAGTGGCAGACACCCTAAACTGTACACCATTTTGTGTACGGAAGCTTTGAGATCCCTCCATGGGCTAACACACCCATAAGTCAGAGAATGTGCTCACAAACTTCCCGAGACCTTCTTAATGAGCAAGTGTGTCAAGAACATACTAGTCAACCGAGTCGAATGCACCTTTAAAACACAGAAATACTAAAATTGTGGGTCATTTGTACGTACGGCGTTGTTCTGGCACCTGTGTGAAGTTTTGGTCAATGCAACCCCTACCAGGCCGGAATCTCACCAGGTGTTGCCGAATAAGTGATCAAAGATAATCATTCAACCGTAAGACCCTTTCGGTTCCTAGCTGCCATGCCACCCGAAGGAAGCAGGAGGCCTTGGATACTGCCAGATTGCCCACGCCTAGATAGGGGAAGTCGAGATACAGAGGTCGGGCTCGAACCATAGACTTTCTGGTCAGTAAATTCGCGCTCTAACCACTAAGGCATTTTACCCCCTGTTGTCGAGCCCCCATAGGGCGACGAAGCACAAGTGACGTCAATAATCTCGTTACAACCGGGGTCAAGTTGATTCCCCTGTGATTGCCACACTCACTGCAAGCCTCTTTTTCAAATGAGCACTATCACCGAATCTTCCCAGTTGTCTGGGAGAGTCTATTTTACCCAAATGCACGCGAATAGATCACACAAGCTCACTGAGAATTTGACCCTACGTTTGCCAAATGCGAGTGGAAGGTTACCCAGTCTAGAAACCTCGCTGGTGCTTGAGAGAACGTATGCAGCGGTGAACCTCCGACGCCGCAGGGATCCCAGGTTCATTGTTCATGGTTCTACTTCAGCTGCAGGTTTCAAATGCACGGCAGCTGGTGTTCATAAGTATTGCTGTTCAAAGTATTCGGCCCACCGACCCAGGTGTTCTTTATTCAAGGTCACTCCATTCTCACCCTTGGTGGTTTCACACACAAGTAGCTTCCGGGGGGGGCAGTCGCACGGATCAACTGAAGTAATCTTTGAGCATTCCCGGCTTTCTGGGCCTCTTCCATTTCCTCGGTCTTTCGAGTTCACCAGGTTTCACGGTCGGCTCATACGCTCAATTTCAATTGAAATCTGATGATTCGTCGGGCTAAATTATGTTCGAAACCGGCGTGGATAATCCTCCGAGATTTAGACTGTTCGGTCTGATATCCCGTGCTTGAGTGGGTCTGGTAGCGCCTTGTCGGATGCGAAATTCTTAGCACTGTACAAGGAAATGACAATCCTTTCCCAGTATGAATCCACATCTAGTGGTGCAGCAGTTTGAAGAGACTCTAAAAGACGATTCCGGTAAATTCGTCTAACATTCGGATCTGCCAGTCTTATTAGCATGCCGATTTGTGGTGCAGTACGGACATCCATACGGCTAGAATCTTCAGAATGACCGTTGAGAGGAAAAGTAGATGACACTGAAGACGGGTGTCAGTACCCTGTTTCTGCTCACATCCCTTGGTGCATGCAACGAATATTACGGCGTGGACGATAGCACCACGCGACAGTCTACCTGGCATGAAACAAGAGGCGCTTGTGCACTTCGCGCTTATTTGCGGGTCCAATGGTAATTATTTTTGGTCTCGACCGAAACCGATGGCTTGAAAGCCTGACCGGAAGGCTGCAGTGGTCACCCTCGAAACAAAAGGGTAGTAGAAATCTCAATAAAACTGTCACAGCTCCAAACCTGGGGAGGCCTAACCTACATCACCCGATCAACCCATTGAGATTCCAGCGGTGTCAAACCAACCCTCTAAAGCATAGCTTAGCTAACTGCAAAAGCACATAAGCTATCACACCAGCGCACGGTCAGGCTTTTTGTGGGGCAGGATATCATCATCGACAGCAGCTTCGCTGGCGAAACGGGCGGGATATGACACGCTTTGACTGGTCATCTTGTCAAGAATCTACGTATACGCAGAATCGGATGTTGCCAACCTGTGTGCACTCATACCTGTGGAGGCACGAATTTCATGACTTGAAACGTTAAATGGCTGCCCGGTCTTTCGCCAACCAACCAGCTACCTTCACACTTTGGGTCCTTCAAGGCACTCATCTTGCCAAATTTCATCCCCAAAAGCTTGATAGCCAATTTGAAATCGAGATCCATTACTTAGTCACTTACCACCCTTCACCAATATGAGAATCGAGGTTTAGAATCAACCCAGGTCCATCAGACCTGGAAAACTAGGGAAAACAATCAGATTGCGCTTCGCTGACGAGATGGAAATATTCAGGTACAAGAGTCAATAAACTAATGAAACCCACCGCGACTGCCACGTTTTTCTTGTGCGGGATTGACTCGCAAACGGAACCCCTCGACGATCTGGACAATGCAAATAAAGGGATGAAAAACAACGCACCGAGCCATCCGTTTTCAGGGCAGTTTGGAAGGAAGTTTCGTCCTCAAAATCTACATAGGCATATCCCTTGAAGGCATCAGTATCACGGTCTCTAACCAACCTAACGCTAACCATCTGCACCGAGATATTCGTGCAATTCGCAACTAACCTTGCAATCAGGAAATATATGGTCGAAATGGGCTTGGATGGTATTCGGTGGCAAGTTGCCCACAAATACAGAATACTGACTATCTCTATAAAAATACAAGTACGGCAGTTCATTTTAGATCACATAAATGTCCACTCAAAATCGGCAAAAGACCCAGCGAGCACGTACCGCGACGCCATCGGTGCCAGTTCTAATAACGCGCTCGAAAATCCGTAGGCCAGTATCAGATCATTGCCTGGGTCAGTTCAGTCCTGAATATATCCAAAGGGTTTGAGCACAGGTAGGAAACCGAAGAGCCCTAGACTCGATTCGGCTACTGTCGCCTCTGAGCGCATCTTGGCATATGGTACTTGTCATTTCGCTTCGCTTCTGAGTTAGCTATGCTGATATGCATACTGTTCCTGCCCATGAGGCTCCTTTCTATATTCCGTCCACGGGGTGGTCGTCACCCCTGTCCTGGCAGGGTTACTTGGATGGGCGATTTCGCCAAGAAAAGACTATCGCTGTTCTTTGGGTAGATGTTCAGGAAGGTGGCTATCGGTATTTTCCTTCGCAAGGGTGCATAGATATGACAGGCTAGTGACTCAGGAAGGCTGTACAAAATCAATCGAACTACTGAGAAGACATTATATCTGTGGTGGCCAAAACACACAACAGAAATCCGGACTTATGAGCACATCCTCCGGTAGTAAGATGCAGAATAACAACGAGTGACTTAGGCTAGATAATTCAACTGCGTATTTAGGGGTACACGATGGGACGAGGCTAAGTCTAGATAATTCAACTTCATAAAACATGAGGCAAGGAGCCCAAAAATTCTGGTTTGTACGCGACGGTAACCTTCTAGAGCTGTTTCTTGGCACCTGAGTCGAAGATTCTACATCTGGCTGCAGCATTCCAAAGGAATTCGTATAAAATGTCACAAACCAGCAGAAAGTTATGTGGATTTGTGGATCGAAAAGGGCGTTGCCCATTTTCATGGCTTCTGCGGATAGGTAGGAACACATATGCAGGGGCAAATGTTGGCGGGATCCCAGATTCCTGAAGCTTTGCGACAAGGCCTGCTTTTGTTTGTTTTGATAAAGGAGGGGGAGGCAGACCAATGAAAGCCATGCGCATTGCATTATTTGTTGTCAGCGAAGGTTATCTAGATTGAAAAGATATTGATGGCAACCCGCGGAACAATTGAATTACTGTACCACACATTTATCCGTTATGCATGTGACAGAGTCTAGCAATAAAAACGTAGGAATTTGGGAGCTTTCGTTGAAACCGACTGAGAAAGAAAGCTCTGAATCGGAACCCTACGCAAGCACTGCAAACATTGGATGGAGATGCGAGGCAGCTACAAACCCAGACCTAGAAGTTTCGGTTCGTGGGTACGGTTGTCAGCCTCCATGCCTGTGATGCTTAGGAGTTCCTAAATTTAAAACTTTGTCTTGTGTTATTTCATCTAAAGCTTTGAAAATGTTGGAAAATACAGTAGACAGGCGTTTTGCTCGCCTTATTAAAAGGTTCATATCAGTCGGCAGGTAGCAGGATGTGGTGAAATCACCTTGGACGGAATGTAGTTCGTTGGACAGCTTGCAAGACAAGCCTGTGAGGCTGATTGGGTCATAATTGATAGGGTTGTGACAGTGCTCTCTAAGACTGGCGACATGAGCACCCGCTTGTTTATATGTTGACGGAGTCCAGGTGGGAAGGGTATAACAAACATATTGACGTACTAAGAGAGCAGGAGAGCACTATTTGGGATTTTGGAAGCGGCATCGCCGAGGCCTAGCGAGCCACCTTGACTGAGGAGGCCACTGGTTACACCAGTCAGGGAGTCGATCATCTACGTAGTGTGTTAGTGTTTCTGTGACTTCAGGGCGAGCCATCACGGCTTCAATGTTCGACGAAATTTGAGGAAGCATTTTGTTACTCTGTCTTTAGAAAACAGATGTCCACCTGACTGCACGATAAGCAGTTTGGATTTCCAGTGGGATTGCGCAGAATGGAAGCAAGGATTGGGTGGGTTGTATGCTTGTGAAATGAATGTGGTCTCATCTTTTCGCCTGTAGGAGCCGATTGCAAAAGTGGTCTCCCTGCGTACAGCCAAAAAGTCATCCCAGTCAACTTGGCAATGGATTGATGAGTGCCTAATAATACCAACGTTTGTTTCCCGTGGTGGGTGGCATGTCGCGGGGCATCATCACGCACAAACAGTAGGAAGAAATAGCGATACAATTACCAGTTTGGGCCTCTTAAAAAAGGAAGGATGTGATGCACTCATATAAAAATTGTTCTGGTTCAACATAACTAGGGGCGCGTCCAAATGGGAGCGACCAGATCACCTGATCCTCGTGGGTTTCGGATCATGGTGGTTGCCACGTAATGAGCGTGTCTTGTTGGTTGTACAATGCGTTACCTGTTAATTAAAGCGGATAGTAGTGCTCCGAAGACTGGTGACCATTCCTCTTTCTTTTACTTTCGTAGGTTATGGTTCTGCCCAACTCTCGTAATGAATACCAGATAACCCAGACCGTCATCTTGAAAGTTCATCCTCGTCGGCCCTTATAAATTTGATTTCCGTCATCACACCGCCTCTCTGCGTGCCTACACCGGCTTGCCCTATTTCTCCTATACTTTGATACCATATATTAGCAAGTCAACCCATGCTTGCTCGCTAGTCTACTTGGCACAAATCCACCCCCCCTGTCCCACCAAATCACTTGTTGCCACCACCCCTATTGCAGTGAACGATAGTTTTCTTTCCCAATTAGGGCACACCATCCTGTCTGATAGCTCCGCTGATCTCACCCCATTCCCTCGTCTTCCCAAGCTTCGGCTTTCGGCAACGCCAGGTTTGGACACCCTATGCAGCTTTTATCCATTCTATATAGCCTGTGATCCACATTTACAGGGACCCTCAATCGGGCAGAAAATACCTGCGATCCAACAGCGGGTTCGTCCTACGTCTGCGGATTTTCTTGGTCAACCTTAAAAAATTCTCGCTGCTTAAAGAATCGCATGTCCCGGTCCGATGGCCCTAAATATGACGTTTGTTACGGAGCTGCCCAAAGACCGAAGTATGTCAGGTCAATGATGGGGCACTTCCATATCCAGCTTGAGATAACACTCGTAACTATAACCCTTCTAATATTGAGCATAAAGTCTCCCACACTGATTCAGCTAACTGCGAATAGGAACAAGTTCTTCACCTGATGTCATCCGTCTCCATGACGCTCTAATTTAAATCGTTCGGATTTAACCATTTCGGTGGCCTTTTAGCCTGTGATCTCAGCAAAGTCAATAATTTTCCGTTCAGATCGCGTCCCAGCTTGTGTTGTTTCAAGGAACTTCTCACCCGACTGCACCATATCAGCTTCGCCAGTGAGTCTCTACAAATTCGCTGCGCGCCACGCTTATAAGAGTCCTGCTTCCATCTATCCCTATTGCTGATTCCTACATTTCATCATCTCCACGAGGCCCTAGTGGTAGTTTCAGGTTTTAGTTCAAATTGACCGACTGGTTTGCGCCAAATTTGTTGCTTCACCAGAACCATTGTTCTGGTTCCTCATTTTCTGCAATTTGCACTTTTCTTGTCGTATGCCACGCACAATGATTCTCGTTTTTCCTTCCGCGTTTCGTTTTTTGCCTGCCACCTTCAAATCCTAACGCCTATATCAAATGTTACCCACAATTTATGACGGCGTGCTTATTCCGCGCAATCCCCTGTACTCACAAACCATGCCAGTCATGCTTTTATTCTAACTGTAACGTAATGATCATGCCTGACGGTATATCACCCCAATTGGGAATTATCAATGATAGTCATTTCTGCTCGGGGAAATTCAGCGTCCTCCTGTGGTTCGCCGGTGCTCCGGAATTCACAAGAAGTGTAAAGAATAATTATTTCATGGGAGCTAAGGTAATTTTTATGGTAAAACATCGACCGCGACGCCAGTGGAGTATACTGTGAAGAATTACCGAGTCTCCGTGGGTATGTGTTCATCTCCTTGTATTTTTAAACTGAGGCAAAAGAGCTGGGCTAATGAAAATAATAGAAAATAGTGAGTTCGGAGTAAAATGCCTTGCGTGGGATGCCCGCACATCCAGCTCAGTCACTAGAAGACGGTAGACATCTTGGTGGCAGTTGTCGGAGTAGTTTACCTGGGGAGTAGACCACAGATCACCAAGAGGTCAGTATGAAGGGGCAAGAGTGACGAGATGTCTTGTACTCCGGTTTTTTTGTTGTAGGAGCACGCACTGCAGTGTGCATATATCTCGATATATCCTTGCTTAACAAAATGTTGTCATTTTGGAATGTTGGGAAACGGATTTAAAGTCGGAGGCTAAGTGGCGACATTGGTGTTGGCAGGAATCTGACGGCAGATAGAAGGCCCTGGGGTGAACCTGGAGTGTTAAAGTGTAAAGATTTTTTGGCAAGTCCGCTTTTGGTGACGGGGTTGAGGGAGACAGGTTGGTCAAACTGGTTCGCGCTAAGCGTGATTTGGGCTGTCAAACAGGTTACATGAATTGAAGGTATTTCACGTTGGATGTCAAAAGCGATGAGGTCGGTAAGGCAAAGTGTATAACAAAAAAATCAAAACCCTTTAAAAAGGTGAATTGCTACCTGGAGCAAGATTGATTTAATTGTGAGCGTCTCGGGATATTGTTCACGGCCTCGTTCGCAACACGAACTGTATATCTCATGTCCCAAAATGTTACATGTGCCATTTGTCGCGGCAAAAGTGTTAGCGTTGTTAAAGTGTTTGCTGTTCAAGTGTGCTAACGCAAGCCTCATGTTTACTGAAACCTGTCACATACGTAAATAACCTGGAAAAAGTGAAGTGTGGAGGAGGGAGACATCTTCTAGAGCTAATGAGACACAAAAGAACGAGATGGCTGTGGTCAACCTCCGACAAAGTGCTTCGCTCTTATCAATCTCAGTGATGTAATTTTTTGTACGTGGGGGACGGAGATGATAGAGTGGCTTTGTTGAAAGTCGTTGATGGTCTTCTCTAATTGCCACCGTGTATGGAGGGGCTTCTCCTTTTTGTTGTCTCTTACGCGTTTAAACCCTCTTTGTTTGGTATGC